GATCTGCTGTAGACTTCCACCAGCCAGTAGGTTGAAATTAGCCAGCTGTTTTTTACTGAATCTCATTCAAGAGCAAATCCCGGGGCACGCTGTACTGAGATCTCACTCAGAAGGAAATCCTGGGCACCAGGAGCCTTTTGTATAATGCCACAATACCTGCAACATCTTTGGTGGTATGTTACATAATGGAGTTTGCAGAAAATAAGACATTCGGGCAGTTTCTTCATGTAAAGATATTTATATAAATCTAAACATTTTAATGTATTGTGACCAAGCATCTGTTCAAAATTGCTTTTTAACCAAATCATCCAGAAAGCAGGAACTGGTACATACTAAGAGAGATTTTACTGAATATGTATTTTACAGCTTGGTTCTGCCTTCTTTAAGATTTTTCATGCAATAAAACTGTTCTCTGTTGTCCTCTCTTCCTTCAAAACACAGTTCAGAACATGTCCCAGCCAGAGAGAAATAAGAAAGAAAACTATTTTGAGAGAGGAGGAGAACTGGACCTATTAAGCAGCTAAGTACTGTTGTGTGCGGGCGGGTGAGAAGCTGTTACTGGAAAGAAAAAAACAACCAACTACCCAACCACAAAAAAACTTGTTAACCTAAATACTTTGTCAAATGCATGAGCTGTTGCAGCCAGCTTGCTTCTCATGGGTCGCTGTAGGTTTTACTGACGGTGGCAGTGGTGAAGGGTGGGTGAACGGCTCTTGAACACTTACTTTCGTGCCCAAACTGGCTTTTCTCTAACATCTCGTAGATGAAAACTCTTTCCATCTGTGGAGGCCTCTGCAAAGAAATCTTACTCACTAGTGTTTACATTTCTCTGACAGTATCTTGGAAGAGAAGTGTTGTACTCTACCTTAACATAGGGAGAAAATATATATATAGCCCGTACAGAGCACAGTGGGGTTTCCTCAGCCAGCTACTGATGGTTAAGGGGCTTTCTCTCCAGGATGGGTAAGATTTAGGCTATTCATCTTCCTCTCTGCATATGAAGTTATGGTATCTCGCCATGCAGCCCGCCTGCCTGTTCCCAGTCTAGCACAGAGGTTTGGGAGCATCTTCAGCTAATGCCAACAGGTGGATCAACAGGAGGAAACAGTGCTGGGGTCCTCTGGTTTGAATTCATCCGTGTAATTGCTGTTTGGAGTTTTGTAGAAGCTTTCCTTTTGTAAAAAATGATGTGAAGGATCTACATTAGACTTGGGCTCTTTCCTGTGTGATGGAAGTAAATGCCCCTCCCCCTGCCTCTATGTCTCTCTCCCCACTTATCCCTGAATTGCACCTTCGATAAAAGGTGATGGGAATAGTTGGGGTGGGGGGATTTTCCCTGGAGCCGGGGGGATGGCACTGAGTCCCAGCTGCGCACAGCTGCTGCTGGAGCAAAGGGAAGCTGTAACCCCCAATTCTGCCTGCCTTTGACCGACGTGCTCGTGCTGATGGAGCGAAGCTGTCGGGGCTGCTGAGACTCAGGCATAGTCAGAGTGGGTGACTGCTCTCTCTGAGTCACACAGGCTGTGTCGATGCCTTGGGGGTGGGCACAGGAATTGCCAGTGAGGGCAGTATGTATCCTAAGGCCAAGTATGTGAGGACTTCTCTTCCAAAATTACAACTGCCCTGCACAAGCGTGGGGTTTAGGGGAAGGGGGAGGCTTCACACAGTATCTGTCATCGCCATGAACTTTGTGTGGGACCTTCCGTGAGTTACTTCAGTTAAAATGTTCAAGAGCATCCCAGCTGCGCATCGAGGTCCCATCTGCAGCAGCAAGTTAGACCCCATGCCTGAGACATGCTGAAGCCCAGCTGGATGTTTGACTCGCTTTTGAAGACAACGCAGACGAGCTCTCTCCAGTTTGGCAAAGGCTCACCTTGGAAGGCGTCGAGCTGGGGGGTGCCTCTGGCTGGATGCTTTATTTTCACCTCTCTCTGCTGTTTAATTTCATCCCCTTCAGAAGCAGGGATGTGAGTGCCCTGGCAGGGGTTAATGTGAGATAGCCCTTTCTGACTACGTCCCTCCGTAGACAAGACCTCCTCTTCTCCTAGGGGTTGTGCCCCATCCCTGTCCTGGACGGGGAGGGATTGTTAAGCCGTGAACTTTGGGAGCAGGGCTGCCTGGGGCCGGTGTGCTGCCCAGCACCAAGGGCCTGTGTCTTTGCTGCCGGGCCTCGGATTAATGCAACAGAAGGGATGATATAATGTGTGGTGGACTGTGGAGATATAAATGCATAAATATTCAAGAATGTCAATTACAGTCACTTTTTCAAAATACAATTCCATCAGAGCATGCCAATAAATAGTACGCCGACTGTAAATTAAATATCTGTTCTAAAAATAAAACAGAAACAATTTGGAAAGCTGTTTCCAAATGCATCAGGGAGTTCAAGGCAATATGTTTTTAGGCTGCTAGTTTTGCATTGTAAAAAATATTGTTACTTCACAGTGTCATAGCTTTCCTTACAAATTTAACTCCATGAAATTCAATATCTATGCTGAAAAAAATTGCTAAATGTTTCATCTGTTTCATATTTTCTGGCAGTAGAACCATGCAATATGGGGAATATCAGCACACTGATTTCTTTTTTTATATTGGAAAACTAATTTTTGGACTCCCTTAGAAGTACAGACATCTCATTACAAGCTTTAATAATGAACTAATTACCGCTTCAGGTTTCTGTCCTCAGTGAATGTAATTTTAAATAGTCAATCAACAATCGTTCTTTCTTGACTAAATACCTTTTTTCTTTTATCAGTGATGGTTCTTGTGGCCCATGGGGATGCGTTACCAAGCCCCTTCGCGGAACTTTTTAGAAACCAGTGTGGGATAAGGGAGTACAATGAGATTGGGAGTGTAAATTGAAAGGTCCCTTATATCCCTCGGGGGCTTTTGGCTGGATTTCCTTCTGCAGGCACCTTTGTGCTAAATGGGAAGGATGAAAGTTGCAATCCTGCCTTCTGCTCCAGACACAATGAAGCCAGTAGAAATGTGATTCTTTGGAAAGGAATACAGCTTAAAAGCGCAGCTCTGAGTTGGATGCTTCTTTTTTCTTAGAAAAGGGCGTGCATTTTCCAGGGCTCTCTGAGT